AATGGAGAAGTCGGCATTGGCATTCTTCAAATATCCGAATTACAGATCCAAAGTTTCTATTTCCCGCCCGGTAATCGCATCGTTTCCCGAGCCCCTCTCCCTTCAACGCGCGGGGCTTTTGAGGAGTGTTACTAATCTTAGTGCATCTTCACTACTGCATGACTCTGGCTTTGTCATAGCCCATCTCCATATTTCCCCATCACTAACAATTAATCTCACCAATAGCCCCATCACAGACCTTCCCTGCTCAGCTAGGGCTGCATCTCGATGTCTTGGCGTTCCCCGACATGCCGACTCTGGTATACGGCTTACCTGATGATTATACCACTCAGTGGCACGGCGTAGCGCAGAGCTCCGCTGCTGTACGAGGCTGCGTCTGGCACTTTATTCATCTGTCCTAGTGGACAAGGTTTCGATTGCTAAGGATTTCTGTGTCATTATGCATGCAGCTTTGTGGCTGGACACACCAACCATCACGGTTGTGTCATGGACCTATAAAGACAACTCCTCGTCTTCAATAACAGTCTCATTATCAACTCACTCTCAATTCCATCCATCCAATCAACATACCCTTTAATTCTCACCAAAACAACATTTAATAACTCAAAATGTCCAAGATTCTCACTGTTTTCGGCGCCACTGGCAACCAGGGCGGCTCTGTCGTCCGTGCCATCCTCAACGACCCCGCTCTCTCTAAAGAGTTCAAGATCCGCGGCATCACCCGTGATGTCTCCAAGCCCGCTGCCCAATCTCTCGCCTCAAAGGGTGTCGAGGTCGTTGCCGTGAGTTAAAATCGCATTCTCCACCAAAACACAAATCTGACTTTACAGGCCGACATGAACACTGCCGAGCAAGTCGCTCCCGCTGTCAAGGACGCTCACACTGTCTTCCTCGTCACAAACTACTGGGAGACAAACAGCGGCAACGGCGAGATCGCTCAAGGAAAGGCTGTAGCCGACGCGTGCAAGACCGCTGGCGTGAAGCAGCTCATTTTCTCGTCTCTTCTTGACACTAAGAAAATCAGCAACGGCCGTTTGACTCACATCAAGCATTTTGAGGGCAAGGCCGAGATTGAGGAATACATCCGACAGATCAACGTCCCCGCAACATTTGTTCTTCCTGGTTTCTTTGCTTCCAACCTCTTCACTTCGATCCGCAAGAATGAAGACGGTAGCTATGGTTGGGCTCTCCCCGCCGACGGCGACAAGGCCAAGGTTCCTCTCTTTGACGTCAACGCCGACATGGGTAAGTTAACCAACCACAATAACATGGATAACTACTAACTCTTCCTAGGCAAGTTTGTCAAGGCCGCCATCAAGAACTTCCCTGGAACCATCAACAAGCGCATTTTTGCCGCCACCGACTACTACTCCCCCAACAGAATCATCTCCGAATTCAGCCAAGTCATTGGAAAGCCCGCCACCTTCAACCAAGTTCCCGCCGATGTCTTCGAGTCTTTCCTCCCTGCTCCTATTGCAAAGGAACTGACTGAGAACATGATGCTCTTGGAGGACCCTGGATACTACGGCGATGCTGATCTCAAGGAGAGCCTGGATCTCCTGGATGAGAAGCCTGTCACTTGGAAGGAGTTTGTTGAGCAGAACAGGGCCAAGTGGGAATAAAGGAATGATAAGAAAGATGGTATTGAACCATATTTAATAAAGTAAAATCCACATCAGACAGCTGTAGCATCATGGCAAGATCAACGACCAGTGCATCGACATGAACAGCCACCAAATAAGAGCGTGCATTGAGTCAAATCAAGTCTGCTGGAACTAGTGTATAGAAGTATGTACGCAGTTTTTGTTTTAGATTACAATTTCTGATTTGCACCTCACCCCGCCATCTTCATTTTATGTAACTGATTGACCATAATAGAAACGTCATCATTCATTCACATGCCAATCATCCAACAAGCCTCGATCATTCATCTGCTTCACAAACTTCTTGATTGTATATTCACCGCCAAGTCGAAATCGTCCTCTCGCTGGGAGTCCGACACTCATCGTGACAGCGGTAATAACGATCTGGGCGCCATGATCTCCATATTCTCTGGCGAGGTCCTGAAGTTTCTGTTCATTGCCAGGTGTAGTTCCGATTCTGGTGAACTTGATGACTATCACCTCTTTCGGCTCCTTCTTCGGCATTGCAATCTTGGGACTAGCGTTGAATTGTTTGTATCTTTACAGATATTGATTGAGCTTTCATCAAACCAAAAGGTGGGTGAGCGAAGATTGAGATTGTAGACTGGCTGTAGAATGGTGGTTTATATACCCGGAATCTGGCCCTTCTGCAGAGATGCTATGGTTACTGACAGTGACTTGCAGTGATGCTCGTGCGAGAACTGAATGCCACTTACAGAGTTAGGGAAGGTATCATGGAAACACGGGCTGTGACGCAAACACTTCTATGGCGATGAGCAGTGACATGTGTGACTATAGACCGTCTTCCAGAGACTTGCACAGAGAGTTTTACCTCTGTCACTGAAATGAACCCAGCGTTATTCCCACGGACACACAACTATTCATTCACCATGTGATGAGCAGTTACATCAGAGTCAGATTGTGAAATGATTCTAAGTACGTTAGCTCCAAGAGCAGTGAGTCCATGTAAACCGCCTGTATTGAGCTTCCCCCGGCCTGCTCGCTGTTGCAATGAAAGAAGATATTTTGGACATGATCACTTCTGCTCCGAGTTTTGTTGTAGAATTCAAGTGCAAGATATACAAGAAATGGAATCGAGTTGAAACCCTCCTGGAGTAATATAATGATAATTGAAGAATATCACTCACATCTTAGGCAAAAAGGCACAGGTAGCTGAGTACGTCACAAATTATGTGTCATGAGATTCCAATGGCGTTCTCTACCGAATCATACTGGCTATTTTAAGTTTCAAAGCCGAGTTCCAACAAATCCTAATCTAACAAGAATTCACCTTTCTTTTATCCTCCTGAGTTTCCCCAGTCGCCTCAGGCTTCACCACGTGGTGAGATTGTCTCCAGCTCTCTCCAAACCCACTCTCAGCCACGAGATCCGTCACGTCCGCGATGCAATGAGAGGGACTGGATCGAATTCGGTGCTTCAATTGAAGAATAGTTGCTCCGTCGTGTAGTTCGTAGTCCCAGTCATCGTTGAGCTCCTTGAGCTTTGGTAGTTTCGCTTCCGGATTTGTCGTATTGTCCTTCCTGTGGAAGAAAACATGGATATACTGCCCTTCCTCGTTGACGCTCATTTTATTCTTGCAAGTAGTTCAGCAGTAAAAGCGGTTATGTTTGTTGGGTTCCAGAGAAGAGAGGTGCCACGAGAAGGCGATAAATTAGTACCCGTGTGCCGTTGTGATTGAGTGGTTCAGGAGAATCTAATCACAGTGGCTGAGGACGTGACTGAACCAAATCAATGAATCCAATCACTGAGTGTCCGAGTGAGCAGTGGCAGTCTGACTGCTCCTCAGTGATTTTTAAGGGTCAGAGTGAATAGAATGCTAGGCCGTATCATCAAGCCTACACTTGCTTTTATCCTGAAAGCCCTCACAAGCATCAGAATACATCTCCACCAGTCGTCTCATCCCAGTCATCTCATCTTAATGACAGCCCTAGAACCGAGATATCCAGTACGTGGCTGAGCGCTGATATGTCAACTCACACATTTTTCGTCATGTTATTGCCTGCTCAACAAATAGATATACATAGATCGCTCCGTCTGGACAACCATTAGTCACCAGCTCACTTTGGGTCTAACCGCATGACGAGTCGTATCCATGAGCGAACGAACTCTATTGATATAACTCTTCGTTCCGCACCTCTAATATCCATAGCTTGAAATAAATAATCCATGAGTAAGAATATCCATGCAAAGCATCTTCCAGGATAGGAAGGAGAGTGAATATAACACGAACTTTGTGATCTACTGTATATAGCGGCATCGGCTACTAGCAAAAAAAGTTCGCTTTTCCCCCTCAGCTTTGCGAGCGGAATGCCTGATGCTGATTAGCTCTGTTTTTGGTCTGATACGTGGCGGAACTTTGGTGTTTTCTGAGCTATACTGGGCCAAACGGCATTTATATGCCGCGCGATCGACCGTTATGACCCCCAAGAATGAGGGGATTTAATCTCCTCGCATTACAAGGAGTAGAATTTCCGTGTATGATCAGAGGAGCAGAAACGATAATAACATGGAAATCTAGCGCGTAGCTTCCTCTTCCCTATAGATCGGAGTACTTGCGGTGCTATTGTATTAAACAAGCTCTGTGAGTAGCATTGAAGTTTTCCTTCCCTACCTATGGCGATTTAATGACATTTATATCCGGGGCACCTTCTATAATATGTCAAGCAAAGTATTCTTTTTATAAGCCTTGAGCGACAGCAAATTGGGATTAGTACGCCTAACTGTCTTATAACTTTGCGGGGAAGCGGATCCTAACTGTAAGGGACAAAGACCCGTCGGGTCATTTGCGCTTAGAAGCGCACCTCTTATGGGTTTTCCTGACGAATTGTGCGTATAGATGAAGCGCTAGTCTCTTCCCAAAAAACCGATTTGTGGAGAAATGGGGAGATGGCAGACAATAGTCGTATTCTCGATGGACTGGGTTCGCGAAAACTTGCGCAAAGAAGAGATCGTCGTCCTCCACACTGGCAATTCTCGGTTAAGACGGCAAGGGAATGTCGATGACTCTATATATTGCGTAGTGTATATATACATCACGAATGCTCGCAAATGTCTGGGTGGGCAAGCCTTTACTACAGATCCGACAAAAAGGCCGTCACCAATGAAGTCACTGATTCGAAAATATGGCAAGGTCCTGGCTTTCAACATTGGCGTTCCTGCCTCTACTTGCTCTCGCGGAGAGCAATGGCTTCGGTGCCAAGCCTGTCATGGGCTACAACAGCTATAATGTAGGCTGTTCAACCCAAAGACCTGCTAACAGGAGCTGCTGTCTGACATTTGCTGGAGGATATTGTTTGTAGTCCCAACCAGACATATATGCACGACACCATCACCGCCATGAAACAGAAGGGCTTCTTCGACCTCGGGTACACCATGTTTCAGGTATGACACAGACCTCTGGCCGGGGCTGTTTGACAAAGACTGATAATGATGAACAGATCGACTGTGGTTGGTTCAGCAAAGAACGTGCCGCGAACGGCTCAATGACATACGATAAACAGACTTTCCCAGACGGCATTTCGCCCCTGAGCAAGTATGCAATTAGCCAAGGAATGCAATGGGGCATGTACACGGGTGCGACACCTTACCAGTGCATGCCCGATTACGTGGAGGACTGGCCAGCGTCTCAGTACCACGAGAAGGCTGATGCATTGCAGTTTGCTGGATGGAACACAGTCTATGTCAAAGCTGATAACTGCTTCGGGCCGGACGACACGCTCGTCCAGCGATATACAAACCTGTCAAATGCACTTAGGGATGTTGGGATCAATGGCATGATGGTATGTGAGTGGGCGTTGCCAGCCAACGGAGACGTTGACCCGGCCGTGTGGACAAAGCCCATTGCTACGTCGTGGCGTGTGGCTGCTGATATTGCTCGAGGCTGGGACTCTGTCTTCCGTATCACCAACGAAGCCATTCACGTCATGCTCCAGGGCAACTCTGGACCTGGTCACTACGGCGATATGGACCTGTTGGAGGTTGGTAACCCGGGGATGACCCAGTCCCAGCAAGCCACTCATTTCGCCATCTGGGCCATGTTCAAGAGCGCCCTTATGATCAGCACCAATGTGGTCGATATGCCATCTGAGACCCAGTCCATTCTCAGCAATACTGGTCTCATCGCCATCAACCAGGATGACCTTGGAGCGCCCGTGCGCCTTATCCAGCGGTACCCTGACTACGATGTCTACGCTGGTCCCTTGTCTGGCGGTGATATGGCCGTACTCATCGTGGACCAGTCTGGTAAAGGCGGTAATTACTACCTCGACTTTAACTCCCTCAACGTTTCCCGTGCCGATGTCCATGACCTGATCGCGAACCGGGAATGGCATTACTTCAGCAACTGGTTTGCGAAACTGCAGCCGTACGGCTCGTCTGCGCTGCGCTTGACCAATATACAAGCATACACTCCTCCAGCTGTTAGATACAATTACGTTGAGGGTAGTTCGGGCGTCCTTGACAACGGTGCGAGACTTGTAGACTGCTCTGCTTGCTCGAGTGGCAAGGCTGCCGGATACGTCGGTGGCAAGCAGAGCGACGGTGGCGGCAGCGTCACATTCACCGGCATCAAGACGTCTAAAGCCACGCAGAACATCAAGATCAACTACATTAACTGCGAGATCATCTATCCCAACGAGTCTGGTCCCAACGCTAGAGGTGCTCGGATCTCGGTGAACGGTGCCAACTCGGTTAACATTCTGTTCCCTGTATCTGGATACTCGTGGACAGCATCAGTACTGCCCGACTTCCTCGTTGAGTTGACCGGGTTTTCCACCAGCGAGCCGAACAACATCACCATCACCGGTATCCCCAACGGTGTACCCAACACCAGTGGCTACGCTCCGAACATTGCAGGTATCTCCATCTTAGCCTAGTCGGTTTCTTAGATAGAGGGTGGATATATGGAGATTGGGCTGTAAAGTTCTTAGAAGAACTTATGCTATGATTAGTTAAACACGCCTCTCTTAAACAAGTTATAAAGGATTTAAATATAAAGGGTTACCCTTATTAATAAAGACTATTATTTCTCTTTTTGTGATAATATTTCCTACGTCTAAAGGCATAACTAAGAAGATGATTCTTAGTTTTATTACTGTCAGGGCCAGAATACTTGCCAGGTACTCAAGAAGTAGCTTAATATCTTGGCTTTAATGCTATAATAACTTGAATTTCTTTTTTTCTCTTTTTGAGTTTTATTACTATTAAGTAATATATAATAGTTATAAATATATTATATATATAACTTATTTTACTATTTTATTTTCTGTAAAAGAAGCTTTTTATTAACTTAGGGTTTTTGAACAGAGAGCTAACGAACTTGCGGAAAACCAAGCAAGTATCACCATAATAGCTGCTACCGGGGAGAGTTCATCGTATGGTTTACCTGGTGTCGGGCAACGATCTCGTACGATTGCAAATAACTCCAGACTCAATGGAACGACATGGAGATACAAGCCCATGTCGTTCAAAAGTCACATGGGCGCCTCGAAATGGTCAAAAAGGAGGTGGAAGTACCAGGAAGCAGTCTTCTCTTGCAGGTGCGTCATCATTGCTGAGGACCAGGTCTTCCACCAATGTGTATGTATGACTTGTGCCGAGGAATGGACACAAGACTTTGCAAATTGCGAACTTATAACTTTCCCCGTCTTTGAGCGGATCTTATACAAAGACTCAGACATAGGCACATATTTACCAAGGAGTTGGAGGTTCATGACAAACTTGGAGGCATACTCCAAGCGTGAACTTACATACGACTCCGATGTGTTGAGGGCAATTGAGGGTGTTTTTGGCTTCTATGCCCAATTAGAACCATCATTAGAACAATACTGGGGTCAACCACTACGATGGGTTGGCTGTCAACTTTCCAATCTGGAAGAGAAAAATGTTTACCATTTTGTAAAATCGAAGCATAATGATGTCATGGGCGCTATTCTCTGGGCAATGCTATGGGAGCCAGCGTGGAGTGAAATCCACATCCTAAAGACTGAGTTTTTCAGAAGGGATAGTTTTCCGACATGGTCATGGTCCGGCTGGAAGGTCGGAGTATGATGAAACTTCTTGGCGAATATCGAACATCTGGAAAAGAGCTTTACAGCGCCCCTCTTTGTGGAAGCAACAGCAGGAGGACTTTTGGAATTAAACAACGCGCTTGCACGGTCTCTCACTTCCGGTCAGTCCTACACGAATCTGGGATTGACCTATATCTTAAGAATAACGACCAAGGTTTTCGATGTCCCATTCATAGAACGCGCGCCCTACAAGCCCACGACAAGCTGGGCAAGGAGCGACTCGTTTCCTGCCAGACACAAAGGCCAGCACTGGGTCAACAAAGAGGATCACTCCCTCGAAGGGAGATGGACTCAATTTGTTGTTCAAAAGAACATTGAGACTTCTGAGAGAGGGCTGGTCTGGTCCTTGGATCTCACACATGGCGGTGCAGCCACTAGCTCCGACCTTGTCTTCGACATCGACACCAACGTTAATCCCATGACACTCCGATGTATAGTCATCAGTTACGATTTCAGTGTAGCAGTGGCATCTCTAAGCGAGTCGGGTTATTGCGCTTCGAAGGAGAGTTCTTCGAGAATGGTCGAATAAGTACTGATGAACACGGCCACCACGATGATAGCGTGATATGGCCATGGACTGATTCTGTGCAGAGCAAAGATTTTAGAGACCACTTTCCAGGTGTTGAGCGGACTGTAAGTTTAGGCCAGTGAGGAGTTGCTGGTGTGCGCAACCCCTGTGGCAATGCCGTTCAACTGAGAGACTTGGTGCACGTCAGTCAAAGCATCTGATTGGAGAAGCATTTTTGTGGTTGGGAATAATTAGGCTTAAACTAATGTAGTCCCTTGGGCTAACGGAGGGGAAGCTACAGAGCTAACTCTTAGCTAATATGCGGTTCACACAGTTTGAGTAGAACCCGTCTTGGCAAAAAAGCTTAGCATCAACTAAGTGACGAGATCAGATTATGACGCATCAAGACTGGCAAATAGACCATGACGCGTCCCACGGGTCTAACCGCCAGACGAGTTGAAGGCAGCTAAAATATATCTTGCATTGGATTGGCTGCTGCGTAAGTATGATGGGCTAAATGTGTCGGTGGCTTTGCAGTATGGCCCTAAATGATCTGCCACGCGTCAAGTATCACCAGCTAACCTTAACACCCTTACTCCCTTGGTAATGAATACGATAATTGGGCCTTCTAAAAGATGCATGGTACTCAGAGTCTCGTTTCGAGGAAGATAGACGTTAGGTTGAAGAACTTGTTCGTTAATAGCGACTGCTTTCGTCATTTTCTATGTGTTGCAGAGGTTTATTAGATTATCAGCCACCCGGTATGGCGATATCCTCATGCTGCACAGAAGTGGGTATGGAAGACAGAGTTGCACCCAATCATACAGCTTCCCTCAAGTACCTCAGCTGTCGATACATACTCGCTGCACTGGCAATGTCATTTGAATTCAGTAGACCAATCCCCTCTTGCACAAGTACTTTCCATACGTAGTCCCTATGCCCTCTCGGCCAATCGGGCAACCCCCATAGCCTCGACTTCAAGTTTCGGTGCTTTGCGATTCGAAGCTGGTTCCGCAGACTTTCCATTTGCTGGGTGCTGAACCCCGCCCGAACACTACCAATCGCCTTGCTGAGAGGGGCAGAGGCGGTATAAAATTCATTTTCCAATTCGTAGGGACCGTAGAACCCGTTGCTTTGGATGAAGCCTGTTTCAGTGAGCAGATCCAAGGGGGCATCGAGAAAAGCATCGTGGCGCTGCTGCCATTCTTCAAGGTCCGTGCCAATGTTTATGTCGCGCCGTTTAATAATGTTTCCTGTGCCTACTATAGTTATGGGTCCAGGCCAGAATGTCTGATTTGTAGCCATAGTTTTGTCGTGGCGAGATAGGTATCTCAAATCGCGCAAAGGTCCTAGTTGCTGAAGAACCAAAGGCCATGTCTTTACTGGGTCGTCTTTCACGTCGATGAACAGTATCAACGTTGTATCCGGCTCCGTGACAAAGACACCAGAGGCCTGGGCAGTGGAATCGAAGGCTTCGTGTGACCATGGCCGATTTATTGTGTTCAAGATCTGTAATAGCGGGTCGATATAAAGTGATCGTAGTGTGCGACTCGAGGAGAGTGAGCGTCTGTCATGACCGACGAGAAGGTCTTGTCCATCTGGACTGAGCCATACATCTGCCTCAACACTTGCACAACCTACAGCAAGCGCTGAAAAGAGAGGATGAGGTCTCCAGTAATCATTATGAGAGTGACACATTACTGGGGAGGCAAGTTGCGACATTTGCGCGCTCCATATTGCAGCATTGTATGTTGAATTTCCACGTCTGAAAAGTCGGTCGCAAAACGTAAACTGTGTCATCTCATACGAATAAAGGGTGTTTGACAAAACGACAGGAAACATTAAGAAGAAGGGCCCTCTATCTCAACTGTTAGCAGCTGTAGGTATGTTTTGGCTATGATGATCATGACTCGATACAACATACAAGATTATTATCGTACAAAAGATGGCGGTAGGCCAAATTCTGACGCGCTTTTGTCGTGACCTTGATGTGTGTTGTTTGCATCGTGTCAGACCGTGTTCGACTTGGCACAAATCGTCGTTTCTCTGTGAGGGAAGTGATCTGTAATGGTCAAGGCCGGCTGGGCGTTTAAGGTGGAAATAAACGGAAGCCTTCATGTTGCGTTGTCTTTAGCATATGCAGTGTGAGTCTAGAGGATCTTGGAGCAACTGACTAGAACAGTAATGAAAATTCCCAGTAATACCTGTTGCCCTCCCATTTATTGAACTTTTCAAGAGGCACTTTGGTTTCAAGTGACTTGAATGCTGGGCTTTCCATTGTTCTGACGGAGAAAAGACTGGGATCAATTCATTTCAGCGAGCCATCAGGTCGGCGTTTCACAAGTGACAAGAGCCCTTCCTATGATGACGCGTCCTCATTTTTCATCACCAAAATTGCGCTTAGAATTTGTGGCTGTTCCTTTGTTCTAATCAAGCATCACCAGAGGCCATGGCGCTTTTTAGACTGAAACTGTACCTCATGACCCCCGCGTCGCCGTTGGTCTAGCCGCCGAGAGGACGCGCGTTGCCTGAGCACTACCAGGCTTAACACACCGTAAGTAAACCTCAGACAGGCTTCCTCACCGAAAAATGAGTCAGCAAATTTGGCCCTTTCGAGTTTCTGTGGCTTGACAATGGTTGGCGTGTTTGTCATAAGATACATTTACGATTTCGCTACCGCACAAATTAAGCTCGAAGTCGAAGGGCGAAAGAGAGACGGCTGGAACAGCAAGACCTCAAAAGATTAAGAACCATATGCTTGTTATGTATGTGTGTAGCCTAAAGTTTAACCTTATGGCCAGCAATTAGATGGGTGGCTAGTTGCATGGTAGGAAAACTGGAGCAAAGTTCCAACGAATCTTCCTATTGCTTAACGGAGGTTGCCTCATAATGTCCATAGGTCAGTACAGATAACTAAGAATAACTCCATTCACACAGGTTATGCCAAGACTTTACGCCAAGACGGGTTCTAGATGCATTGGCGTAACTTTGCTACATAATAGAGGCGGGCGGTTACGTAGACTGCGCTACCAGCCAATTTTCGGACGGGGGGAGCGAATATAAAACTCATCCCACCAAGCCTTCGATAGTGTGATCTTATCTTTTTTCGCTGTGGTATATAAGCTAGCTTGATAGATTCAACAGTGGCTGGGGACTCAGCTAATCCTAGCACCACAATTAGGGGGGTGTTAGAAAAATGCCTGACGTGAAGATCTGATTTTTTTATGGTGAAGGTATATTCCTGCGTCCGTCATTTTTCGGCACCCTATGGCACAACCATCGGCTAGCACTGATAAAAGTCCCTCCACACATCACAATACATCGCTAAGAAAGCGCATATATCACTCAAGCCTGAAGTTGTCGTAATCCAACGGGGCGGAGTCGATCAAGTGCCCCCCTGTAGAAGTCATATCTCTATCCCTAATGGTACTACTCTTCTCTGTCGAAGCTAGCGTACTATAGCCAGTCAAAGAGGCATTAGAAAGTCTGTGTTGTTCCTCAGGGATAGTAATGGGATTAAGCATTTGAGGGCTGTTACATATCTCGAGGCACTTGTCAACAGCGTTGTTATTAGCTACCTGCCCTAACTATCTCTTGCTGTCTTCTGTATCGAAAGACTGAGTGACTAGAATCTTTTCTTGTCGCGGTTTATATCTTTTTCTTTCCTCTTTGATCAATTCGCATTTCTTCTGTTGTCTTCGTTTCAACATGGCGCACCAATATGTTCTACCTGTTGTATTCCTCCGCCCATCCCGTCGTATACGGCTTTTGGCCTTTCTATCATTCTTTGTCACAGCAACGTGGACCTTCATAACAAGGTCGTCGATAGTCTGCTCCCAGGAAAGGGATATCGCGAGGGAATACCCACTAGTTTATAGGCATATCCATTCGTTCAATGGCACTGGAGGTGGTAAGTCGGACATTCCAACATGGCACACCCCAAGGAATGCTCGCAACGCTAACACTGAAACTAAGCATGGTATATTCCTCCATATTGGGCTGATACTGAACAACCGCAAAATATTCTCGACGCTGCTCGTATAGTCTCACAGAGCGCTCTATCTAATAGAGAGAGAAGAATACTTTTCTCTAATATCCCACTAATTGTGCATCAAACTTGGAAAACAACAGCGGCCGATAATTGGAATCCCAGAATACTACCTTGGGTTGAATTGTGGCTGGAGAACTCCATTTATGCTGACCGCGGACCGTCGATGGCATACTTATTTTGGGATGATACAGGAATGCGTGCGTTAGTGGAAGAATTCGAGAATGACTTCCTTGAGCGTTATGACTCCCTCCTGACACCAGTTGAACGGAGCGATGTGTTTCGCATTTTAGTATGCAAGCATTTTGGCGGAATAGTAAGTGTAGTCCGAAGACACTTGCTTTAAAGTTCATGCTAACCAATGTAGTATGGGGATCTCGATACTGAGCTCATACGGCATCCAGCTGCCTGGATAAGCGGATCTGATATGGCTTCCTGGACAGACCCGAAAACAGGAAAGGCTTATGGCTTTTATATCACTTCGGTAACACCAGACTATGAAACTCCAGTAGTGAACCTTCTTTGGGGTTTAGAAGCCGATAATGACCCAGAGTCCGATGCATACTGGCGCCAAAGCTATACATATCCCCAACAACTATCGCAATGGGCATTCGCAGCCGCCCCTGAACACCCAGTATTCGAACGATATATGGAAAATCTACGGAATTATACCATAGACAACGAAACAGCGGTTCAGAATAGTGATCCACTCAAGAGGACTGGCCCTGCGGCTGTTACTCTCGCAACCAAATCTTGGCTAGAGGGCCAGGTGGGCTTTCGGTGGACCAGCTTGACAGGTGTCAAGGATGGGGGTAAATCTAAGTTGGTTGAAGACATACTCATTCTTCCTATCACCGGCTTTCAGTAAGTTCATTTCCCCTTTATCATTATCTTCCTTTTCGCACTGCTAACGTTGCCAAGTCCGAGTCACGGAAGCCGTAATGATGTTATGGGCAGAAGGCCGATGACAGAC